TAAGTGCGACAGAAAGCTGGTGGGGGAGTGTCTTAAAAATTAAACATTTATTAAAAATGAATGAGCGTAGAGCGTCTTCCTGCTCACGTTTCAACAAAAACCCAAAGTCTAATCCTTCCAAAGCTGAGTCAAATGAGAACTGTTCAATAGTTGTTGCCATCTTCCTTGTTTTGTTTTCTCCAGCGTTGCGCAGCTTTGTCGTCACGCCCTCAAAATCCCGCCCACTTTGTATCCAAAAATTCAAAACGCATCTCTGCGATGTGATTGGCCCACCAGTTCTAGGGCCTGGGGCATGGATCGATGCTAGACCAAACTCTCAGGCAAAAATGATTTTGGCCACTGGTGGGCGGGGCTAGTTTACTAGGCTACTTGTCAGGGTCATGGTGGGGCTGGTGCCTGTCTCCAGCTGTTTACGGGTGAGAGGCGGAGTACCAGGGTTTCCGCGGGTCCTTAAAAAGTCTTAAAAGGCATTGAATTCTTCAAAATAAAACTAAGGTCTTAATTGGTATTAAAATGTCTTAAATCAGTAGGTTTGTCACAATACTAAACTTTTCAACTCGATACCGATACTAAGTAAAATATTCGATACTCAATACCCTTTTTGATACCACAAGAATAAAAACAAAGACTCTAAAAATCAACAGAAATATTTTCATTACTAAAAAAATAAAAGAAATTGGCCAAACCAGTTAAACAATAATAATTCTCAGCAGCTGCACCTGTTACAAGAAAAGTCTGAAACTGAAAAATGCACAGAATTATTCAATCACACAGTGTTCAGAAAGTGCATTTTTCACTATTCTGCACTTTAGATGGCTGTATCGATACTTTTTAATATGAGTATTGTATCCGGATACAATGTTTCAGTATCAATACTTTTGACAACCCTATAAATCAGTCTTTCGTAGGTCTTAATTTTTAAAACATCATAAATAGGATCATTTTTATTACGATTTATTTTTGTAATCTTAATAAAATGTTAAAATTTACAATTTTTTAAATAATGGCTCTCCATTATTCCGATAGCGGAACCAATAAAACGTTGTTGCGGCCGGGACATTTGGAAGATGCGCTTTTAACCTTTTGTCTGGAAAATATGAGCAAGTGTAAATGTAACCAAAATAGTCTCCAGCCAAGAGTTTTCTCCATGACTAAAACCAGGGAACATACATGAGGCTCAGTGGATTTAGTGCAAGAAGTCATTCAAGCTCAGAACGATGGGAATTAAGGCAGTGGAGTCGCACATGCGAAGCACGAAACACAAAGCGTCAAAATGGAGTTACAGAGAAACAGCCGGTATTTCTCAATAAATTGAGATA